CGCAAGTATTTTTTTATTTTTAAAAGTAATTGTAACATCAACATATATAATTTATCTACGTTGATACGTAGTAAATAAAAAATATAATAATACTCTGTAATTATAAAAATAAATTGGACTTGCAATAATAAAGATCAATCTTTTATTAAGCAATGTACAAAACTTTTCGCATACACAGTATGCACATTTGTTTTATATCCTGATATAAAACTTGTTAACTTTAACATTAATGTAAAATTAATTAATTAAACATTAATTTAATGTATATACATGATAATTCGCTAAAATAACCGTACTTCGTTTATTAATAGAACTCTGAATCGATTATTCTCTACTTCCTATCCTCTCTCACTCTCTCTATCCCACTCGCTCGCTCTCATATACACATACATACAAACACTATTTCATTCTCTCACCTTTCTTTATTCGTGCATATATTCGACTAATTAAAATTATAGAAGTAATTTTGTTCATATACATTTTTCCCATCCCATCAAAAAATAAAATGTCACATTTTCCCCCACAAAACAAGATGGAGATTCGCTTTAGTAAAAAAGGCACTTCTAGCTAAAACTCTCATAAATTTATATAAGTTGCAAAATTCTCGATAATGAAAGGCGATTCCATTATTAAAACTTCAAGTGCGAAACGTAGCTTCTCGAAGAAAATGCGTAGTATGTACACGAATGTACAGGCTGTCTCAAATGTGATGTATATCAGTAATAACATTGCAAAAAGATTTTAGAAAAGTTCTTGTTTGTTCAACATTTTTATTTTATATTACTATTCAAGCCTTGATCTATCTTCAAAAATAAAAAGATTAGAAAAATTATCAAGTTTACTTTCTTTGTGTAACTTTTATTCATTAATAGAATATTTTTCGTTATTTAACCTCAAGATACGTTTCTGTTAATATAAAAAAAAATGGATAAAATAATTATTAAAGAAACAAGATTCTGTCATTTATATACAAAGAGCACCCTGTTTATTGAAACAACTCAGTCGACATATTTTATTGTAATTCTCGGCAAACTTTCAATTGTTTCACATTTTAACGTCTGTAAGGAACTTCATTAACTTCGATTGCAACACTGAAGCTGATAAATTATCTATTCACAACTATTTGTAATATATTATATTAATTAACAATTATCTTATTTAAGATCACAAATCGACTACAATTCCACACAAACTTTTGCTAATACATTTACAAATACACAATAAATAGATCGAAAATATATAAATGCGTTATTAATATTTTTATGATCGTATTTTAATTAAGAGAAAGAAAAATTATTGTGTAACTTTATTTTCTTCGAAAGAAAGGGGAAATGATAAACTATATACATATCGCGGGGAATAAAATTCTGTTACTAATTCACATCTCTTCCGAGACAGCCTATATCGTATAAATATGTCTTCTCGATATATCCTACATCTTCCGGAAGTGTCAGAAGTTTCATATCCGACCATTCGACGCAAGAACAGATCTTCGAAAATACTACCCATTTTGGATATCGCCATTTTGGATAGCCCGTTCATGACATTGCATTGCAGCCGCATATTCCACGCGTATCCCACACATCCCTCTTCTTCCCCCCCTCCCTCTTCCCCGCCCCCTTCCCCAAACCCTCCCGCGTAAAGTAATATAGTCTTCATTTTCACTCACTGAATGGTGTCCTAATCTAATTTAATCACTATTATCGCGAGCTTGGAAAAGAATGAAACAGACGGCGAGTCACAATCGATATAAAATCGCATCTCTTTTTTGTACTTTTGTAATTATACGTACGGAAAAAAAAAATCATAAATAAGAAATGCGTAAGGCAGTGCATATTGAGATCGCGATATTTGTGGAAAAAAAAAAAGAAAAGAAAAAAGGAAAGGGAACTGTTAGATATATACGTCGAGATGGTATATACGTGCATTTTACGTTCTCGCAATAATCGTAACAATAACATATTTACGAGCCACAAATGACTCGTGTGCGTCGGTAAAACGGTGTCGTCCGAGAACGAAAATACAGTTTCACCGATTAAACTTGAGAGCTGGAGAGAGAAAGATCCTCAATATTATTTATTAAACAATTTAGAAAGAGAGAGAGAGAGAGAGAATTTCACGGGTTTTTTGCACTTGTTACACTCAGTTCGAGTGTCAACGATTCGCTTGCTGTTTCAACAAGACAATACAACAACCTCTTCTACAGTAAGAAAACCGCAGAGAAAATTAATGCACTGATCGATATAATAAAAATTAAAATAGATTTTCGAAGGACACAATAAAATAAAAATAAAAATAAAAATAAATTTTTGAAGGAACTAAAAATAAAAATTGATTTAATTTTTAAAAGATTTCTAAACAAAAACTCGAAATTCGCGATTAATAATTTGGCGATATTTGAATACACAAGCAATTGCAAAACAATAAAAAATTTTGCAAATAGCTAAGCAAGCGTATCGTTTCGGCATTAAAGCCTTATTCATTTTACAATCTCTTTTTTTCAATCACAAATATACAAAAATATTACAAGAGCATTTTAAGCCCATCTTTCACAAATCGATATTAAAAACAATTTTATAATAATTTTATAATTTATAGTTTTTTCACATAACATAAATTATAAAATATAATTTATAGTTTTTTCATATTTAATTTGTTTTGTGTTTTCAACATAAAACATATTAAATGTGACGCTTTCGATCGAGTCTTTAGATGACTGATAAATTAATTATTGCGGTTTCTTTTTTACGAACAAGAACAATTTACGATCGAGAAGAAACACTCATCATCTACAAAATACAAACGAGAAATAACAATAGGGAAAATGTACGAAGCGGACCAGAACGTAAACACTGTATTTTATTAGTACACTTTAAAAATGTTCATTGACACGCCTGTATATTTTCCATTTTTCCTTTTTCTCTTCTCTTATAATGAACCTCGACCAAACGGTGGAGAACACAGTCAGATGAGTTGAGATATAGGTGGGGAGGAAACAAGTGATTGCAATTCTTATTTTGAAGGTGTACGAGGAAAGGAAATAATAAGAAGACTTTTGGAACATGGACCATAGAATATGGATAGTGATCAAGTCAAAAACACATATTATTAGTAAAAAAATTGAAACTGCCGTAATTTCAAGAGAAAGAGAGAGTTCATTTTCCGCTCATATTATCATTTTATAGCGATTATTTTCATAAATCTCAACACGGAAATTTGAACTCGGTGAAATTACGCTCGGTTCCAATCGATGCTGTCAATTAACTATCGTCAATTAATTATTGTAGTTTTTACGATTTCCAGTGTTCAACTTCGCTCAAAGCTTGACCCTCCTTCGCGAGATGGCAAATTTATCATTACAGTTCTCTCAGCGCATACATAAACAAACCCTCCTAACATAAAAACCTATGAGAGTGACGATTGTAGTCATTATCGCAGCGACTATAAACGTCGACATATCGCGTCCAGATTTCCCTAATCATTTACTGGGCTCGATAATAGCACATATGTGTGTACACATATATATACATGGATGCGAACGCAAGCCGCTTCGATAACACTCGTTAAGATCTTAACAAAACATGTACTAAGTATGCATATAGCTATATGTTTATATATATATATATATATATATATCTATAGTTTTTTTATTTATATATTTATATAGGCGAATCAATCGCGCAGGAGAATGTGAAGAATCTTCATTACTGAAGATTTCACTGTTTAGAACCAACCGATTCTGTATCTACTTTTATGTATGTGTATGTATTAAATGTGCGTGTGCGTGTGTATGAACAAGTGAGTGGGTGCGCGCGCGAATGCACGCGCGTGTGAATGTCGAAGCGTGTCGGTTTGTTTATTTACAGAGAGCGAAACGCGTTTCGCATATGTATCCGGTCAGATTACGACGACAGAGTCGTCGAGTCTTTCAAAGTTTTTCTCTTTTATCTACCAGTTACTGCCTCGTCCCCGGCCTCTGAAACCACCGCCGCCCCAAAATTGTTTGCCTCCACGTTTCAATCCTCTTGGTAAGAAGTTGCCGACTATGGGACCGCGTGGTCCTCTGTCCATCCATGGACCTCGCGGTATTCCCAAGAGCCCACCTCTAAAACCTCCTCTGCCTCCTCTAGAAGAAGGTGGAGGAGGTAATCCGCCTCGCCAAAGCGGGAAAGGTGCGCCAATGCGT